TTTCAATGGGCTATCCAGAAAGGATGTATAAATGAAAAAGATGCATAATCAAAATTTTAATTAAAGAGGAGTGCATATATTCCTTAATATGATTTTCAGTTGCTTTAAAGAATTTTATCATTTTACCAATTCTTTACACAATGTTAACATCATACTTTCAGCTTTTTTTAAATATTACAATAATTCAGAATAAGTTTCTAGATTTCACTTTTAAAATAGCAAAAATAAAATAGTATTAAAAAAATCTAAATTTTATGCCAAAAAAATTATTTTTATCATTTCAATACTTCGATTTTCTTAACACATTCTTAAATATAGCTGCGATCATCCATACATTTTTATTCATCAAATACAATAAACACTTTTGAAATACCTAGTTTCTTGTGAAATTCTTCTGTGTAGAAGTACACCTTCCATTTCATCAATATCCGCTCAACATAAACTAGAGAAGCGATTCTGCCCATGACACTGAAGGTTTTCAAGAGGATAAGCATTTTGAAGACAGGATATGAAAGAAAGACTGGGTTAATCAAAACTGAAAATGTTTTCAGCTAATATCCATATACTTCGGATAAATTCTTGAACCTTCACTAAATTTGACTCAGACATCTTTGGATTTTCTATTTATGATATAATACAGCATTCTATGACACAATTTCAACTTATATGACCCTCCAGTGAAAAATACTACCCTTCACATTCACCTGCAATGTTATTTCCTATATCTTTTTCATGGACATAAGCATATTCACTGGAATACTTAATGTTCACCTTAAGCACAAACTTCTTTGAAGCAGATTTTTTTTTTTTTTGCAAACTGTTTTTTCTTTCTTCTAATTTTAATCTTTTAGAAATATTTCTTTTTCAATGCTGACACAAGAATATTCTTCTTCTTTTTTTTTTTTCCTTCAGTTTGCATAAATTTTGTATTTTTGTCAAATTCTCTTAAAATTTCAGTCACATCTTTCAGAAAAACTGTTTTTCATTGTCTAGACATATTAGCTATAAATTAAGTTCAGAGTGAAGCCCAGAGAACAAATAATTGAGTTAAAACATATTTACTTTACCAAATGATAGAGGTAAAAAGTATTTCCCAAACATTTCTGATCAAATGATTTCAACTTTTACTCTACCCCATCTAGTGAATCAATTTTAATACTGTAGGCAAATAGTCTACATCATATAATTCTGATAATTGTTAAGACCAGTCACTGCCATATCAAAGAGCATATTTCTAAATTGATCTGTAATAGTATGAGCAAGAACTAGCTATTTGAAACAATCTTCGTAAGAGGTTTAATAAAAAAATTATATTTCATATATCATATTCTATATATAAAAAATAGATTTTGACTAAAATTGTTAAAAAATTATGTAACTTAAAACTGTTAACTGTTGCTTATTTTATCTTGTTCAATATTTAACTTGGAAATATGACCTAAGAAATAGGTATAATGTGCATAGGATTTTCACGTTTGTAATTTAATCCAAATACAGTTAAGTGTCAAGAAGTCCAAACTATAGGGACACACTCTTTAAGAAAGAATTGCAGAAAATTCAACATTGAATTAATATCAATTTAGAATGCTACATTTCAATATTCACTTCGACTTAACTTTGATTCTTAGTTCTGACAACCATTCTGTAATCAAAGTAAAAACAATAATCAAAGTGTACATTCACAGCATGGCAATTAAGTAATCAGCAAGTATAAAAAAAATAGAAACATACACTGACAGAAATTTCTGTGTTAATGCAAATCTGACAAGTAATTAAAGAGACGGTTAGAAAACATCTGTTTTTTAGTGCTTCTTAAAGAACATATGTTACATTCTTTCTATCTTTACCATATCAGGAAAAACCTTTCTTCTGAAAGGTAATTTTAATTTAGTTTAATTAGAAATTAATTGCAAAAAGACAAATCTGGAGAACATGCAGGATGACCGAGTGCACACACTTATCTTTGAGCAGATGCAGCTCTACAAAGCAGTTACTGACCAGTGGGGAGATGCATTCTCATGCAATATAACACATTTGTAATAATGATTTCTAAATAATATACGATTAAAAATCATCAGCTTAATTCTCATATATTAAAAACAACTACTCAGCGAAATTTTTAAAATTGCAGAATTGTTTTTATATCTCACATTGTAAGATATACCTAATGTTTCAATAACCTAGGCTTCAGTTGCTCATTTCCTCAACCTTCTTTGTAAACTCTTAAAAAGCTTGCAATTTGTTTTGTTCTCCCTTTTATCCTTTTCTTTTTTTCCACCGCAGTACATAGCTGGTGTCCCTCATACTTTTACCTATATTTGTACCTGTGGGCCTCGCATGACTTCCTTGTATGGCCTATTAAATTTTACACATTTTTTGCTGCATTTAAGCTTATTTCCATGAATTTCTAGTTCTCATTTAATTAATTCAGTTCTCACTTCGAGGCAAGGTAAAAATACACAAAATTTCAAAATATCTTCATCAAAATTTGTAAAATGCAAGAAAACATAAAACACCAAAACATTTAAAAAAAGAATTTTTACAATTAAAATTAAGAGTTTTTATGCAAAAACAAGCAATTCAACCAGAGGGCAGGAAGACAGATTTTTCAATACAAAAAAATGAATGTTTACTTTTGGTCCCATTTGGCAAAAAGACACTGAAGTTGGTGCACAAACTGACTTTTGCACCAAAAATTGGACAAAAAATATTCAGAGTGATTCGATGAAAAATCACAGAACAAAAACAAGTCCTCAAAATTTAGTCCTTTAGGGACAAAGCTCCTATGGACTGAAAATTTCATTAATATTCCTTATTATTATAGTTAAAAATTGCTTTCCATATATTATTAATAAATATTTGATGTCAGTCATTGATCAAAATAAGAATAAATTGTATGTGAACAATTATTTCAGTAAAATTTTTTTTTGGAAATCTAAGGTTAGAAACAGCTGCGGCAACTCAAAAAAGATTGTAACAAAATGTATACACCAAATTTGCCATTATAATCGCTTACAACAAAGATGCTAAGTTTAATAACTTACCAATATATAAGTTCACCTATATCCCTCTGTGTTCAATATATCAAGCCAATACATTGTAGCCATATACTATACGGTATGATAATATATCAGACCATATATATATCAAAGGAGATAATATACTAAATAATCCATTAGTAAATAAATTATATATACATATATATATACACACACACATACACATATATATATTGACATGATAATATATCACACCAGTATATTCACATATAAGCAAAAAATTGGAATTTTTTATACATATGGAAATTTTGAATAGAAAATTCCAGTTTTCTACAAATATATCTAGAAATATATCTACTTTAAGATGATGCTAAAATTTTTAGAGGTTATAATTCAAAATTGTTTTAAAAAATTATAAAAATTGCTTAAATATACAAATTTTTAAAATAAATCAGAATAAATACATGAATTTTAACTGGACTGAAGTTAAACCTTGAAAGAAGAAATCAAGTTAGTATAATTAAAAAAAAGATAACAAATATATACCAAACTCAGTTAATATTGCAAAGTTAAAATTTTGAGTGCTAATTTAAAAAAAAACCAGTGCAATTTTTACAAAATTTGACTGGTAGTTTTATTTGGAAATAAATAAAACTAACTATTTGGAAATAAAACCACCAGTCAAATTAATTTAAGGCACAGAATTGATATATGGAAAAAAAAAAAAAAAAAAAAAAAAATCGCTATGTCATTTCAGAAAAAGTCCAATCTGGCATCAAAATAACTATGTTATTTGTGTTTTCATTGTGTTACTGTGCTTTCAGGCAAAACTATATATAAATTTAATATATATCCTAAGTCATGCTTTCAAGACATGAAAAACACAAGCTGAATTTCATCAAGTGGCCTACTAAAATGAAAGACAGAGTTTTTTTTTTTTTTGGTCAAACTGTTGATATGATATTATGACATAATTTTAATTTTTGAATAAGTCACATTAAGTTTGCAAACTCTGAAAATATGGTACAAAAGGTATAGTACCGATTTTTAAAATTAGGCTAACTAAAAGTCAAATGAAGAAACTTAGTTTTAACATTAATTTAAAATTAGGCTTTTATTTTTCTGCAGTCATTTAATTTATTACCCTTTCATTTACCCTAAATTTCAACTTTTAACTAAAATTAGGCTTGAACTTCAGATTAATGCTCATTTTAGAGAAAAACTTTACGAATTTCTTATAAAACCAAATACTAAGAAACATTTGGCTAGCAAAATATATTGGCTCAGAGGAACCAGTGCCATATTTCCTTAAAACGTAAAGAGACTTCGTATAAAACTAATGTCAATCTAAGACTGAATTTCACCTCATTTTATGTAACTGTCATGCTTCTCTTATTGTATTATAATATTTTTAAAAATTATTAAAAAAACATTTTTATGTTTAAATAATTATTAAAAAATTTCAATATCTTAAGCTCATGTATCGATCTTATTTATTTCATGTTAATATGAATTTCTTACTGCAACATACGAAATAATAAAATAAAAGAGAAACATGACAGAATAGCAATACCGTGCAAAAATCTTTACATAGCATTTATTAATTAAAAACTTATTCATCCGATTTTAAAAAACTGAGAATAAAAAGCATAGCTAATTTCATTATAGCACTGTAGTTGAATAATTTTTAGTGCTTTACTTATTTTAGTCATTATTCAGTTTTCCAGTTTTAATTTAATTAAGCAGAACAGATTGCATTTTACCCGCATGAGCAGAATGGCTTTATTTGAAAATTTATACTAATTATAGATAGCAATAATTTTTGCTTAAAAGCAATAACTTCTGACACTGATAAAGTATTAAACATAATCGATATATGTAACACAATGAAGTAAAAAATTTCTTCTACTGCAGAAATACAATATAGCAAAACTACGTGTAATTTCTTCAAATCTATGTAAGTGAAAATTATTCTAAAAGAAAATATTGAATATAAATAACCTAGTTGTGTGACCTGATCTTCAAGTTCCATAACTTTAAGCTGCAAAGATCCTTTATCTTCTTCTAGCTCAGCAATATGCTGATGGAGTTCAAGTATTTCTTTTGGTTTTTCTTCATTAGCCTAATGTATCAGATCAAAGACATACATATATCTGCTATAAGTACAATACAGGAAAAGACAGAATCAAAAGTAATAAAAATTTACTATATATGGCAATAACGCATAATTAAAAAATACACATATTCTTCAAGATGGAAGTAAAAATCTAATACTTTTAAAAAAATCAAAATTAGACGTAAAGAAAGTTTATGCTTCATGAAAATAACTGTTTAAATACAATAATTAAAATACATAATATAGGTCTTAAAAAGCATTTTCTTTAGGAATTATTTCAGGGTTTTCTTTAAATTTTAATTTCTAATTTCCTTATTTTTTCCTCATTTCCCTTAAGCAAACGTTTCCTCACCAAACACTTAATTTAGTAACAGTTAGTTGCTAAATTAAATGTTTCCATTTAATTTAGTAACAAGCTTTTACATTTCCTCACCTCACATTTAATTTAGTAACAGTTGCTTACTAAATTAAATGTGACTAAATGAAAAATAGTAAATTTTGTAGTAAATGCATAACTTTATGCATTTACTACAAAATACAATAAAATAACTAAGAACATTATAAAAATGAAACAAATATAGATTTAAAATATTCATGTGGATAAATTTTTAAAAAGAAATATTAAATGTTGGAAAATTGTTCATTTTGTGGAAGTTCATAATAATACACTATTCATAATAAATCTCAGTTCCATGGTTGTTCAAAATACAAGAAAGCTGTGCATTGATAAAATAATATGAGATGAGTAAAATGCTTTGCGCAAGAAAATCAAAGATTAATATCACTCTTCCCATATTTTAAAACGGGCAATTTTCGTCTATTCGTTAACGTTTAAAACATTAATTACTTTTACTATTTGAAAGGAATGACTTTTATCCCCTTTTCTCACTGTCTTGATTTTTTGAAAAAAGTTCTGATTTTCTTGACATTTTGAAATATATACAGTACAAAGTCCGTAATCCGGACTCGTTCAGACTTCGGCGATTCCGGATAAGGGGTTTTTCCGGATTATAGATCATCAATTTAAATCTGGTAAGATAACATGCAGAAATTATACAATTAAAAATATCAAACCATAATTCATGAAATAAAGAGCAATTATGATCTAAAGGGTATCAAAATTTACAAAAAAAAAAAAAAAAAAAAAAAAAAAGCTTAATATTTATTTGTTTATTTATTAAGCATTTTTTCAATGTAAGTTGTTTAAGTTGCTTCGTTTTTTGTACTAATACTTTCTCTTTAATTTTATAAACAGACATGATTTCTTGTTCAGTTACAAAGTTCCACTGTTCAAGTCCAGTAATTGCTGTGTCGAGAATACAGACTAACTTGTCAATCGAAATTTTTTCATTTTCAATAACCTGTCTGTCACTTTCTTCACTAATGGATTTCTTCTTTTTCTGGATCTAGAGCCATACTACAGATTTCACCATCCGTTCGTTAACTGATTGATGATTGGGGCATTGTCGTCGCAATGAAAAACTTCTGTTATATCATCTTCATTTATTACCACTTCTCCACACATTTCTTTACAAAATCCAATAACTGGAAAATTTCACCTTTAGTCTGCGATGTCCAAAAACCTTCAGATTCGCAGCCATCATCTTGATCATCCTCAATAAGAAATGTGGTAGCTGGCTATAAATTATGCCAAGCATTTTTTAACATATCTGGAAACACATCCTCCCACAATCTTGCGATGCTCCATACAGCAGATTTTATGCTAAAAATTTTCAAAAAGTCTTGAATAGTCTTGCCATTGTTCAAGAAATTTTACATAAATTTAAAAAATGCTACTTTATATTTGCATTTCAGCGCGTGCACTATTCCCATATCCATACGTTGAATGATAGACGTACAATTTGGAGGGAAGAATAATACAGATACATTATCTTTCATTAAAACTTTCAAGTAAAGTATGCGCCAAACAGTTGTCAACAATCAGGACTATTTTTGAGTCATCATGTAAAGCAACCAAATTCAAAGTCACTGAGCCGTTGGGTATAAAATGATTTTCAAACCAATCATTCATCAACGCTTGTGTCATCCATGCTCTTTTATTTGTGCGATATATAAAGAGGAAAATCATTACTCCTTTAAATGCTCAAGGTCATGCATGTTTTCTGATTATGAAAAGCTTGCACTTGTGCATTCCTGCAGCACTTGCACACGCTAAAATTGTCAGTCTCGCTTTGGAATCTTTGACACCAGTTGGAGCCTTTTCTGTAGAGGTTGCCAAGGTATTTCGCGGTACATATTGCCAGAAAAGACCAGTTTCATCAGTGTTGTAAATTTGTTCTGGAGATAATTGTTCACTAGTAATGAGTTCAATGAATTCATCTGCGAATTGTTCAGCAGCTTCCGTATCAGTTGAAGCTTTTTCACCTGAAATTCTTAATTGTCTTATACCATGGCGATTTTTAAATTTGGTTAACCAACCTGTCGAATATGTGCACTCAGTGTTTAAGTTCATTTCTTCATGAAATATTTTGGCTTGAGCCATTAGCATTGGACCCATCAATGGCACGCCCTTGCTACGACGCTGTCTGACTCATTCAATCATCAGTTTGTCATGATCGTCACTTTTAGCATAATGAACCCTTTTTCTGTTATTTATTGCAAGTGGGGTGTCAGAATCCACAAAAAATTCAAAAAGTTTCTTTTTCTTTTTGCTTATGTCATATAACAGTTGACTTTCTAATGTCATACTCCTCCCATAATTTTGAGACAGATATGCCTTTATCCATTTTTTGCAGCAATTCCACTTTTTGTTTGACGGACATTGAAACATGCTTTTGCTTTATAGATCCTTTGGCAGCTCCAGAATTGGAAACTCTTTTTGACATAATCGAAAGTTCAAGCTTAATTTTTATAAAATTGCTCTAACAGCCTGCAAAATATAATAAGCCGGATCCAATTAGAAGATTAAGGAACAGCGCAATCTGCAACATTAACTGAAATGCCTTATAATCAGTAATGATAATTTTAGCCTAGCTTATACCGTCCATTATACATTAAATAAGCATGCGTAAAGTATACAAAAAAAAAAAAAAAAAAAAAAAAACGTTTGTGGCTTTGAGGTACGTATTATACATCCTTCCGGATAAAGGATGTTCGGATTAAAACTTTTGTACTATATATATATATATATACACACACAAGGTCGTTTAAAATAACACACCCCTACTCTGAGCTCTCTATACATCGAATTACAGAGTGTAAAGGCCCCCAAAATTGTTGAACATACTATTCAAGACATGGTCTATGTTCTATGTGGGAAAAAAAAAATTGCACTGTGTAATGGAAAATGTGCTAAAAAGGCACAAATAATAATAATAATAATAATAATAATAATAATAATAATAATAATAAAAAAAGACATGAAGCATGGAATTTTTCTTGTTAATTTCTATTGCTGATATGAAAAAAAAGAACACAAAAAAATTAAGAAACTTAAACTGCCATTGTAAGTGCAATTTCGTTCTCTGGCCATCTCGTTCTCCAGATCTTAATCCATGCGATTTTTAACTGTGGGGTTACTTAAAAAATCTTGTTTAATCGACGATATCTGGTAACTTTGGCAGATTTGCATGACAGTATCACTCTGCATGTCAGAAGCATCTCAATCGGCCAATTACGATCCTCAGTTGAACAAGCTGTCCACAGATTGCAGATTTTAAATCTTGAAGAAGGAAACCATATTCAGCAGCTTCCCTTGTATCGATAAGGTCTTTGTGATATGACTGTTTGGTACGTTTTAATAAAATGTGTCATAAAGTGTATTTTGTGTCTTTTCAGCATATGTTCTGTTGTAGAGTGCTATGCATCGGTGTTTCTGGAACTAATTTCGTTTTTCACGTAATCCATTTCCCTATGTCTTGAATAGTCTGTTTAACAATTTTGGAGCCTTTACACTCAGTAGTTCAATGTACAGAGAGCTCAGAGTAGGTGTGTTTGAATTTTAATCACCTTGTACATATTTTCAATAACTTGTGTTCGATTCTTTACACTGTTCGAGTCTATGTTCAAAAAGGGCTACCAATGCCTCAACAAGATACACTGATACTGCTTATAGAAAAAGAGATGAAAGCTCATTTAACAGTGCAGAAACATAAAAATATTTGAAAATTCTAATTTAAATATAACAAAATAAAATCCCATAAATAAGCAAAATTACTCCACAGAACATGAAACAGTATCTTAAAAATGCAATGATAATATTCAGTCTATAGGCAAGAAATGTGAATAGTGCAACATCTGTCTATGCTCCAAAGTTGAATGTAACAGTGTAAAATTTACATTTATGGAAAACTCTCTAACTTAAAAACTCCGTAAATGGATTTGACTGTAAATAATTTAAATGCGCAGCATAAAAATTCACGAACAGAAGTTGGAAGCGGCTGAAAGCAAAAAGAAGTGAAGCAATGAATCTTTCAAAGAATAATTCAAAGAAAATATAAATGATAAAGATATACATTTTATATTTTAGTTTAGTTCCAGATATAGCACATGTTTTTCCTCTGCAGCACTTTGCTACTACTATACAATTGCCATTATATAAATTTAATTTTATCAACATATTTTTAGCTTTTTTAGAATGCTATTTTCATCTTACAAAAATTAAAATAAGCGATTCTTAAAATCATAAGAATTCGCAGTGTATAACATAAAAATGAAATCAACCACACCTTTTCTAATATACCTGAATAAATAATGTTATGAATTTTATATATATAGAGAGAGAGAGAGAGAAGTCATTTTAATGATATTTTACATAAATCATAGTATCTCTTGTATAACGTAACATGAAATGCCTTGAGAATGCAATGTGCTACCAGAAAAATAAGATTATAAAAGCGAGTCCACTTAACATTGAAGCAAATGACTATCTCACCATACTGACGAGTTAGCACCTAGATCGCAATAGCTCTGGCAACCAATTTCTGCCACCAAATTCGGCGAGAAACTGCCAAAAGTTTCCAAAACTTAGCAAAATTTCAGTCCAATTCCTGTGCTTATATGTAACTGTAACCACATTTGGCCCTATGTAACTATGTGTATGCTTTCCAGCAATTTCGAGAAATTGAAATTACTGGAAATTTCTCGGTACCTGGTGAAAACTATACAGTCAAAAGTCGTTAATTTGGACACCCATAATCCGGAATGATCTATAATCCGGATCTGATAGCTACAAACTTTCTGCGCATGCGCTGCGTTGACACATACGCATAGACGTTTACGCGTGCACGTAAGACCTTTACGACTGCACATATGCGTGTGTGCAAGTGCCGAATACGTTTTCGCGTGCGCGTTTAATGTATAACGGACGGTATAAGCTAAAATTATCTAATTATCTATTTCAGTTAATGTTGATGCGTTGTTCCTTAATCTTCGAAGCCCACCAGCGGCCGAGCGGTAAAGTCGCTGAACACTGGTAGTTCGGTCCGAGGTTCGAATCCCGCGAACGGGCTGGCTGCATGGGTGTTTTCGTGGTTTTTCCCATGTGTAACATAAATACAAGCCAGTTTCCCTTAGAAAGTCCTCCACGAAAGGCATCCCTCCCCTTAGGCAGATAGCCCTAGTGTGCTTTGCCATAATTAAATACACCAACACCAACCTTAATCTTCGAACTGGATCCGGCTTATTACTTTTTTCAGACTGTAAGAGCAATTTTATAAAAGTAAACTTGAACTTTCGATTATGTCAAATAGAATTTCCGATGCTGGAACTCCCAAAGGATCTACAAAACGAAAGTATGTTTCGATGTCCATCAAACAAAAAGTGGAATTGCTGCAAAAAAATGGATAAAGACATGAAGAAGGTGACAGAGAGGTTAGTGAAAACGAAAACATTTTGATTGACAAGTTAGTCAGTATTCTCGGCACAGCAATTACGGGACTTGAACAGCGGAACTTTGTAACTGAATAAGAAATTATGTCTGTTTATAGAATTAAAGAGAAAGTATTATCACATAAAACGAAGCAACTTAAACAACTTACATTGAAAGAAATGTTTAATAAAGTAAACAAATAAATATTAAGCTTTTTTTTTTTTTTTTTTTTTTTGTAAATTTTGATACCCTTTAGATCATAATTGTTTTTTATTTCATAAATTACGGTTTCATATTTTTAATTTTAGAATTTCTGCATGCCATTTTACGAGATTTAAACTGATGATCTATAATCCGGAAAAATCGATAATCTGGAATCGCTGAAGTCCCGATGAGTCCGGATTAACGACTTTTGACTGTATAAGAATAAACAAAGCATCAGTTCTCAGAGTTTTTAGTTCAGACTGGACTTCCGAGTATTAAGAGATCTCCAAGCAAGCTTCACGCTTTAGATGTGCTTGTATTATGCTGTATTTAATATTCTTAGTAGTTTAGAGTGGTAACTACTGATTATACTCTGTCATACTGAGAACAGCTGTTCGAGTACTTTTGTGGAAAGGTCCAGACCTGTAAAGCATATCGTTTGGGAAAAATAAATTTTACCAAGCTATCACTATTCTGTCAGAAACAATTACTTTCAGTGTTAACACAGAAATGTTCAGTATTTATTTATTTATTGTTTTTTTTTTTTTTTTTTTTTTTTTTTTTGAGAATTCACCTTTTCTCAATTCTGAATATGTGCCTTTTTCCCCCCTATTTTTCAAATTTTAATTTTGTTTCTGATAGTGCCTTTTACTTTTTGGACTTTTTTTGCAACAATCTTTAACTTTAAAGAAAAGTTTAAGAGGCAATAACGAACTTAAAATGTATTTACTAAATGGCATAGAAATGAAGCATCTACCAGCAGCTAATCTATTTGCGCAGTAATCACCATTTCATATTCTATTGAAAGCACCTCTCTAGGTGGATTTCAAGCCCTGTAATGATCTGAGATATCCTGATCCCCATAAATCATATTTTAAATACTACTGAAAGAAAGCAAAGAGAATAAATTTAAATATATATCTCAGCTATCCTACAATCTAGATACTTGGCTATAAGAACTTGATATGTGACTTTAACACTTAATATGTGACAGTGAAGTTTAAAATACACTAATACTTTATAGTAATACCTAAATTAATAATAAAACATATACCAAGATTTAAAAAATAATAATGTACATGCCTGGAACATACTTCATCTTAAATACAGCAGAGAGCTATAAATATCTTCATGCTTAAAAAAAAGGTACAATCTAAGCAACCATTGTAAATTTTTATAAATATTTCTGCTTGTTCATAATTTGGTTTTATATAATGTCACGCTTTTGTTTTTTATTACTTATTTATTTAGTGCATTTTATAGAATAATTGTATACTTTAGTTAATATATGTTTATAAGTGTTCATTTCACACATTATTTTGCAGTTATAAATTCTGAATTAACTGATAATGGAATTTAAAGACAGTTCAAATAAAACAGATGATTTAAAAAGGAATCTCCTTACTAGATCTTGATGACATTTGGTGATTTGAAGCCAACTTGGCAACATTCTGAAAGTCTCTGGAAAATACGTTTTGAAAGCCCTAGAAGCAATTTTTGTTCACGGTTCCAGAAGTGCCTTTCCTCCCCATTCAACAACAGCATAAACAGGAGGCTATGAGGAGCTGTGAGCAAATTGGATCCAAATTCTTGGTGTTGTTTGCATTGTTGAGTTTTCTGCTCAGGGATTACTGCTTTACATTTTGCTTTGTGAGTGATTTTAGTCATCAGTATTATTCCTCATATGTTCAAGAACATTTTGAATTATCTCTATTCTCCTTCAATTATTCTCTGAGAATTATTTTCCCTCTCAAGCTGGAATAAAGTTTTAAGTTTTTCCTATTCATCTGGAGCAGTTATTTAAAGAGTGAAATCCTTATCATGCAAAAATGTTGACAATGAATGAAATACCTAAAATGCATTTTCGCATTTACGGTATTGAGTGGGAAGCCTTCCAATAAATTTTTTAAATGAATAATGATAAGCATTTTCAAGAGTAAAATGGAAGAAAGAAATTACCTTTTTTAATGCATTAAGTTCACGTTCCAAAGCTTTAAGTTTTGTTCTTTCTTTCACCCTAGCTTTCAAAACTTTGTTCTCAGACTGACTACTAAAGTCATCAAGGGCTTTTTGAAGTTCTGCTACATGACATTTTTCCTTTTCCAGATTTTTCTTTAAATCTTCAACTTCACCTGGGAAGAGAGGGATTAAAAAGTTTGATCTCTGGAAAAATCACACAATAGCATACAATACAAACAAAAATTAAACTTTTCTGAGCAAATGGCCTAGTACTATGTTAGAATTACTCATATTAAAATAATCACAAAACGTATTATTGTATATTTGCATATTTTTTAGACCAGGGGCTGGCTATAATACAATATACCTAAATAAGATTCCTGAAAAATATAAATTTTATTAACTCACTTTTGATTTAATAAGAAAGTACACCTGGAATTAAGTTTCTGCTGCTATGTACATGATAGCAACACTTAGTCAATCAGCTGCTAATTTCACCAAACAAGCAATATAAATTATTTGCTAAAAAATTATAATAATGTTGATTAATGATCCAAATAAGTTAGAAGGCAGTTGATCATTGAGTTAATGTTCCAAATGAGCAGGGAAGGAGTTTTCCCCTGCTCATTTGGAACATTAATCAGAATAAATTTCTTAATGGGTCAGGTTATTTTTATTAATTACACAATAAGACAAACAATATGGATTATAATTCTTTGAATATCATTTTCCCAGACAATCTTTTCAACTCATTTTGACTGTGCATTGCATAACGAAAGATTTGAAATGTATAAGGTAATCTCTGCAAACATTTTTCATTTTCTATCCTTAAGATGCTTAAAAAAACTAGAATTGCAGGTTTTAAACTATATATATGAATGAAAATGAAAGCTGTGTATATACGTTAAAGTGCGGAAATCAGTTATTTTGCAGATTATCATGTTAAACTGCATATTAACTAGGGTGATCCATTAAAGTATGGAAAATTGTTTCATTTTTAAAATTATCCAGATAACCTGCACATTAGCTGCTAGGCACTTGTTAAAGTGAAAATAAGATCTTTGCTAGAACAACAGATATGTTTCTTTATGCTTAAAACAGCCATCACTTACACTTCTGAATTGTTGATTGGGAAAGATTTCAGAAAATGTTAATACCAATCTAAATGTCCCACAAATAGGTGTGCCAGTCACAATATCCAACTGCTACGTAATTCAAAGTGACACTAATATCTTTAGATTGCACTAATAAGTGAGCCTAATTTTATCATATGTTTTGCAAATTCCTTTCCTTAATAATATTTTAAATGGTTTTCATTCTTTGGATTATAATTTTTTAATTGATTGTTGATTGTTTGATTGTACTAACTTAATTTTTTAGATATTGAAAAATAAATATATAACATTATGTTAAGTATACAGAAATTTTGCTGTTGCTCTAGCAAAGATCTTATTTCAGTTTAATGAGCGCCAAGTAAGCAATGTGCAGATTTGCGAATGCCTGTAAGTAATGTGCTAAGTGGAAGGAGAAGGAAAGGAACTGAGAGAAACATACTTTAGATCTTTAATGATATGGAAAACAATATGCAAACTTTTTAATGATATGGAAGCTGTTAATGGGCACATTATGTAAGTAAAATAGGGAAAATTCTTGATTCCACACTTTAATGAAGAAAATCAGTTAATCTACAGATTAACTAGGAAATGTGCACATTAATGACTTTCGTGCTTTAGGGGTAATATATATACATTTTCATGTTTATTCTGCCCTTTATTCATAGTCTGTTATTTTCTTATATTCTTGTTGAACATGATAAAACTGTTGTACATAATTTTGATTTATCAAAGAACATAAACAACAATTAACTTCCTTCAATAAGACAAAAAATGCCGCCCAACTAGTATAGTGGTTTGCGTCGCTGAATGCTGTGCTGAAGGGCTCAGGTTTGAGAGAAGGCATGGATGTTTGTAAATGTATAGTGTTGGTGCGGCATGGTGGCACTCTAAATATGTGGTAAACTGAAAGTGTTCTCATGTGGTTTGATGGAAGGGGAGAGGGGTAGGAGATCCTCAGATCCCACTCCTGGGTGCTCTCCATCAAAATTGGGGGCGGGGGAGGCGAACTGAGCCAAATCGCACTATCACCTGTTAGGTACTCAAAGCTGTTGCCAATATCAGGCGTAATCTAGCAATTCTTGCAACGAGGAATTTCATGGGCTTGAGCTGACCATATCAGACAAGTGAGCTTAAGCAACAACAAGACAAAAAATATATAAAATAACAAACATAGTTCTTCCATTCTAAGAATACGCTTCTTAATTTTAATAGCAAAAGACTTATAAAAATAAAAGAAAAGAAAATTAATGAAACATAATACTTAAATATTTCTAGTAAGCATCTCTTTAATTATCTAACTTATTTATTATCAACAAAAGTACTCATATATAAATCAATAATTTGGATGATTTTATTACCTTGAAATAAATGGCAATTTAAAAAAAAACTTTTATTCTAAGGTATATCCTATTATTTTATGACATTTATAGAAAGAAAAAAAAATACATTTTAGAATTTAAGGACTGAGGTAAAGAAATATAAATAAATAATATAGAGAAATATAAATTCTTCTCTTTCTTGATGCAAACAGATTTAGCAAACTGTTCATTTGTGATATACCAGCTTATCAAAATTTAATGTTCATTTTTTATATTTATTTCATATACAGGGAAAACTACTTTAGCATGACAAGCAAGGAAACAACATGACAAGCAAGGAAACAAACAGAAGAAAAATTTTAGCTTAAAATATTACAATACATAAAAAAAAAAGAAGCCTTTACACACCTTCAATTTCTTTATTATACATTTCACATTGCTTAGCAGCATTTTCTTGGACAATAACTACCTTCTTTTGAAGCTCAGCATTTTTAACAGATAATTCATATCGAGCAGATTCCAAATTTTTTGCAACTAATTCACTATTTTTCAATTTCTGGTCTTTTTCTAATATTTCATTTTCAAGCCCTGCAATATGCTCTTTATACTTTTCTAATTGCACTTTCCACTCACTCTCGGCTGATGCAAAATTTTCCTGCATTATTTTCATCTGATCACGAGTTTCATCCAACTCACTTATGACTGTCTGACCTTTGCGTCCTAGGTCTTCAG